TATAGACTTAGCTCTCAGACTAAGGCTCTTGACTCTCCTACATGTCCGTCGGTATTTATGACGGACACCAGCCAATCATATTCCAGTGAGGGGGGCACACAGGTGTACGCATATTCCATTATCTCAAAAAGCAACAACAACTGTACACGTGTTTCTTTATTATTACTTCTTTATGTACCATGTCCTTTCGGGACGTTGGCGATCATGACTTTCCGCAACTTTCCCCAATTTCTTGTCCTTTGTAGATCTTAATAAATTTTATCTTTTTGCCATCTCTCCCAAACCCTGTCCCGCCATCCATTCACTCAATCTCTCCGGGTTGGTTATGCGTTGCTTTCCTCTGTCCTGTGAGTATCAGATTCTCCAAGCCATCTTTCCTCATTATCCTATCATTTGTCTCTTCCTGATGTTGATTATAAGTATCCTTTATGTTGCCATCATCTCTAGAACTTCGTCGGTGCTCACACGTTCATAGTATTGTCAGCATCTTTCTGTAGACTCATGTTTCTAATACTTCAAGTCTCTTCTTCATCTTTGAGGAGATTGTCCATTTAAAATCAAAACAGAAAATGCTAATAAAATATTTAAAGATTACCAAAGAAAAAAGTAATTAATACAAATGAAATACTGATAGTAGCAGAATTTTTAGTGGAATAATGGTTCTTTTTAAACGCAATTTCTATTTACATATTATAGGGGGTTCTGTGTAGAGCTAGTACCTTTGATGTGGGGTACACTGCGTCTTCTGGACCTTAATCGTTTTCTAGATCTCTCACGTGATGGCTCCTAGTTGCTATACCCAGGTAAACCGTTTCAGTTATCGGGCTAAACTCACGTGATGGCGTGGTGTTAACACGGCACCACTGAGCGAAGGACCTCCTCGACATAGATCACCAGCCAGAGCGGAAGTCTTCCTCAAATGAACTACAACGGCCACGTGGTCGCGAACATGGCAAGTCACCTAGCTGGAGGACATCGGCCGTGGTCTAGCCTGGAGAGGGATAGGAGACGCCAGGTTAAAGCGCCTAAGACACGTCCACTCTTGTATCATATAGTACAACAAACTCAATAATTTGACACTTGCTATTCTCCTTATCTGTAACAGTAAGATACAGGTCTCAGTGCTTCAATGACACGATCTGTTTGGACTGAGACATCCCTTAATACGTTGTGACTGTCGTTTTCTATTGATAGTTATACCATCTTCTTCTTATTATTATTTCCTTCCGTATCATGGCATTCTCCACTACATATTTATATTAAAAAAAAATAACAACCTCGAATCAAACACACTGTACATAAAACCCTTCGTGAGGTGTGAGCTGTACTTGTGAGAACAATTTTCGTTGTATTTGTTAAATGCAGGGATAATCATGGCTCCTTTCAGTTGGTCTATCCAATCAAACATAGAGCCCAACTACAACCAGAATTTTTGATGTCCTCATATGCCACATATTTTTTTAGATTTCTACTTCAAGATTCATATATTTTGATAGTTTTTTGTTTTTCAAGATCTTCAAAACCACAAGACAGTCTACATAAACCGCCATGTCAATAAGAAATTACATTCTGTTTTTGTGATTTTTGATCACGATGTCCGGGCGATTAGTTTCGATTGTTCTGTCTGTGTGTATTGTACAGTCCCATAAAATTGTTACAGGACCTATCTCTGTAACCGGGTCTGGGTGGTGTTCATACCAATTACTTGCAGTTTTCTTCCAATAAACGACATTTGCTCACACTGTTATGCCGAGCAATCTGATCCAAGATGGTCAATTGTTTTTGGATATTCCTCACAAAAACTGCATTTGCAGCCAAGATAAAATTTTCCCTGTGATTGTTTGATAATTTATTGTTGGCAAGCATTATTATTAATTATTATTATTATTAATTATTATTATTATTATTATTCCCAGTTTTTCTGATTCATTGTTTGAAAGGATCCTTAAGCAAGTTTTTTTTACCTGAGAACTGAGATAAAGGAAATTTATTTCTCAGAAAGTTGTTGAGCAGTTAATGAGTGTGAGAGAATATACAAGAGAAAGAAAACATTATGAAGAAGAGAGAAGAAATTATCCTGAAAATTAGCAAGAATCGACCGATTGAAATATTATGTTAACTTCAGCAAAAAGAAGTTTTCATTTTTTTTCTAAAATATCCAACATTTCAGTGAGGATGACCGAAGAATTGATCTTCCGAAAAACTGTTAACAATAACAAGAAAGAAAATCTTTTTTTTTTCTATTATAAATCTTCAACATTTCATTGCCGATGACAGAAGAGATCAGCCGGAATATTGTGTTAACAACAGCAAGAAAGAAGTGCTTTCTTTTTAATCATTTCACCCCAAGCAAGGCAATAAATCCACAAAGACGCAAGAGCTTATTGTCTATGAAAGAAAGTAAGAAAAAAAAATATTAAAGAGAGAGAGAGCAATATAAGAACAAGAATTAAGAAAGCAGAAAATAACGATTGACATTGCATTTACAGTTTTGAAGATCAAAGCTAAATGAAAAGCAAGAAGCCAGAAAAAAGTTCAGTGAGAAGCGCGATAGAAGAAACTGTTAGCATAGAACTTACGGTTACATGGAGCCATTTCAATTATAAAATGATGAGACCTTGTCGTCAATCAAGTACAGCGCTCAAATTCATAAAGTCTATGAACTACAGTGAAAAGAAGAATTAGTATGAAATTATTTAAAGGAAAGGCACAGGAAAGCTACATTATGGTGGTAGGAAAGTGAGTGAAGCCGAGGCGCCAATAAGTGAATCTTATGCGAGAGAAGAAACTGTTAGCATAGAACTTACGGTTACATCAAGCCATTTCAACTGTAAAATTATGAGATTTTGGCGCCAATCTACTACCGCGCTTAAATTCATAAAGTCTCGGCGCCAAAGAGGAAACACTAAATATACTTAGAAAAGGTACGGGGAAGCGACGTTATGGCGATGGGAAAGTTATTGTAACCAAAATGCCAAGTAAGGACCGATAACATTGCAGATTCATAAAAAAAAAAGTACATAGAAGGTCAGACCAGGTGATATAGAATGATTCAATACATGGGCGAAATTATGACATCATTTTAACCTTGACGATTGGATACATTTTTTAAATATATGAGCTTTATTTACGATGAATTTTATATCAAAACTTATTTTATAAAATGCATAAAACATTTCTATCTCAGAGATGGATTTCCTGAGTTTCTTTTTAATCAGTCCTAGTGCTCCTATTACTACTGGAATCTTACTTATTATAAAACGCAGATTGTGTGTATGTGTGTATACGTTTATATATTGGATTGGATTTCCTACATTTTTCAACTGATTTCAACAAAACTTCACAGGACTGCGTAAAATTACCTTGCGGTAGTTCTGACAGCGCCAAAAATTGGAAAAACACAATTGTTTTTGCACGAAATCAATTTGAAAACACGATAAAACACGATTCTGTCGCCAGAATGAAAGGGGGACAACTCATATCGAGTTATAATTATAAAACCCAGGTTGTTTGTGTGTGTTCGTTTATATATGGGATCGGATTTCCTACATTTTGTCCAACCGATTTCAACAAAACTTTACTTTTTTTTGGCTGGTAGTGTTTCTTATTGTCTTGCACACTTTTTACTTTATTTTTACATTCAGAATGCTTTAAAAATTCCATTTACAAGACAATTGTTTATAATAAAATTCTATTCAATCAGTAGACTCATAACGATTGAAAACAATGTTTTTGTTTGAGTTTGGGTTTGACCAATTCGTAAAAAAAAAAAAAAAAAACTAATTAAGACATGCATGTCCGTCAACCTTAAACAATAATCTTTGTCAATTTTATTTTTCAGTCTTTATGATGGTCGATACTTGATCTATCTCTTACTGTTACATCCCCGGGCAACGCCGGGCTCTACTGCTTGTAGTTATTATTTCTGAACAGTTTTGGTTAAAGATGTTTGGAATATAGAATTAGGTATATCAAAGGTGTGTTGGAAAAGGATGGTGCCAGAGACACTTCATCTACATAAAAAAGGGTACCTTTTAAATCACTGCTTTTTTTTTTTTTAGTTCTTTTTCCTCTTCCTCCTCCCTCTGTTCTTGTTGTACATCCAAATCAAAATCGTTCAAAATTGATAAAGAATGAAGTATATCAAAGGTGAGTTGGAAAAGATGGTGCCAGGGACACGTGATCTCACTGAAAAGAGGCTCGTTTTATGTCTCAGCTTTTTTTTTTAATTTTTTTTTTTTTTTGAAGTCCCTTTTTCTCTTCCTCCTCCCATTGTTCTCAGGAGACAATATGAAGAAGAAAGCCCATTAGAACAATTACCATGAAAATATATTTAGGAAAAGGGATGGAGAAGCGACGTTACCGCGGTGGGAAAGTAATTGAAGCCGAAATGCCATGTCAGGATCGATAACATTGCAGATTCATAAAAAATTTAAAAAAATTAAAAATAAAGACATAGACGCATCAGACCAGATGTGACAGCATTATTTTATACGTGGGCGAATTTATGACATCCTTTTAACATTGATGAATGAATACATTTAATTTTTAATATCAAAATAAAAGCATAAAACTTTTGTATTTTGAGAGTGATGGGTTTCCTGAGATTCTTTTTAATCAGTCCTAGTGCTTCTATTATAACTGGAATTGTTATTATTATTTCTGAACAGTTTTTGGTTAAAGATGTTTGTGATATAGGATGAAGTTTGTCAAAGGTGGGTTGGAAAAGGATGGTGCCAGGGACACTTCATCTCGATGAAAAGGGGTTCGTTTTACGTCTCGGCTTTTTTTAGTTCCTTTTTCTCTTCTTCTTCCTCCTCCTCCTCCTCCTCCTGTTCTTAGGAGACAATATGAAGAAGTGCGTGAGAAGTGGTGGGGCGTTCAGATTTAGCCTCTTCTATTCTTCGACACGTTTGTTCCTTTCTTAATAATAGTCTTGATGATATTGGTATGGTAAAGGGGAAAAGCTACTTGACTGTCAGCTGGTGTACTTCGTCCTAATGTGCCAGAGTCGTTCAGCAGCTAACGTGCCCCCCTCCGCTTTTTATATCTTTTATAACATTTTACACCCACCCCTTCCTTTTACTTTTATTCTCCGAATTTCATTTCTGCTCCCCCACCATGACATTGCCTCTTTCGCCCCCACACTTTCTCTCTTAACTTTTCTTTCTTTCTTTCACTTGTGAATTTCTTTCTCACGTTGTCTTTTCCCCCCTCTCTTGCTCCTACTTAAAATCTCTGCATTTTCTCTCTTTCTATTATTTCGCCCCCCCCCACCTCATTCAGATGTCGTTAAAGCCAGGGCTGATTTATCTTGCAACATGAGAGCTATCAACTATGCCCTCCTTCGTACGCGCGTGCACACACACACGTTTCGTAATACAGTGTTATACCCACGCACGAGCACACATCTCTGATCGGATGTCTACTGTTGTTTACTAAATACAAGTGCCGGAACGATTAAATTATTTCCTCCAATTCTCCACACCCGGCACGATTCCTATTTGGTACGAAACGTTTATTATTTTACACGCAGTTTTCTCCGCGGAACGCTTATTTTGTTACAGGAATAAAATTTCATCAAAGATAATGCTTTGTCACGTTTAGTTAAACCGGCAAAGAATTTTAATGCCAAAGATTTTAAAGATAAACAAATTATTAAAAGACAGGGAAAATTCGTTAGAAACAAAGAAATGAATGCTGAACTGTTATGTAATATCAGCCCACCCCCCACCCCTATGTAGTAGCGAATGCTGGACAATTTCCTCACAGATGATGAAGAGACTCCAAACAAGTGAAACAAAGAAAAGAGTACTGAACTGTCATGTAATATCAGTTGTCTTGTATGGCAGTGAATACTGGAAAATTTCCTCACAGAAGACGAAACCTGGGGCACGAAAGATACTGGTCTACAGAAAGGTGTTGAGGGTATTATGGAATAAAAATGTCAGCTAGTTGTAAGTTTTAAGGAGAATGAAAAGGAAAAGAACACTCAGAAACAATAAAAAAAAAACGGCTGAAATTTCCTGGACATAATGAGGAAAGAGCGTTTGGAGAATTTGACACACATAAGACATTGAAAGCAAGAGAAGCTGAGGTAAATGGATTATCAACCCTTTGTAGATTATTTAAAGCCAGAAAACAAGTTTGATTGTAAGATTTTGGGGAGATGATAATGGTTTAGCTGGGGGAAAAAGAGGTGGGTTCATACCTTTGCCAAGAGTATTTGCGCGTGAGTGAATATAACGAACTCGGCTGTCCGATTAACAATTCTGAGACATTATTCATTACACCACTCGCACATCGAAGCTTGGTATTCCCAAGCGGACCCCCATCTAGGTACTGAACAGGCTAGACGTTGCTTAACTTCGGTGATCGTACGAGAAACGGTGTTTTAACGTGATGTAGCCGTGAGCCTAACGATCTTATGTATATGGATGTTAGAACAGTAACTGGACGGGATAGTAGGGGCTACAAAGGATAGGAATTTGTGGAGAGCCTTGATCGCGTACATCCTGAAACACAAAAACACAACGATGCTTATTTTATTAATTGAAAATTTCCTACTGGCATGACTATTCTAGACGGGACTTGAATTTTGTATCGAAAACTATACGTAGATGTTTACATTCATTATATACGTGTGTGTGTGTGTATATATATATATATATATATATATATATATATATATATATATATATATATATATATATATCAGGAATTACCACCCGTTTTGTATCTGTCTTGATGTTAAGACGGTTATGGTTTATTAATCTGTATGTACAGGCATCCCAAACAAACGTACGTACACACGCTTACCCACATAGCCACACTTAAACGCGTTTGCGCGCTTTCACGCATCCGTATTTATTATAGTGTATGAATACACGTACGCACGCAGTGTCAGATGAAAAGGCGTTGCTGCAAACGTATGAGAATTTTGGCGCGCGCGGGAAAGCTTTCGCGTAAACATTTGCATACAATCACATGGACAGTTGTCATTTTCAAACTAACGCTCTCTCTCTCTCTCTCTCTCCACGAGGGAGTATTGAAAAGCTCTTGGCCCACCCACTTCCCAAAATGTGAGCAGATGACCAGTCATTAAATTTTTTTCTTTCTTTCTTTTCGAGTCCCTCCTTGGTCGGGTTGAAAACTTTTCAGCATCTCTCGTATCTCACTTTTGATTGTTTTTTTGTTTTTTTTTATTGCTTATTCTTTCTCTTTCCTCCTCTATCCATCTCTACTTCCTTCTCAGTCTCTCTCTATTTATTGTCTTCATTCATCCCACTACTTTTTTTCTTTTATCTTTTTCAACTGTTTTATCTTTGATAGTGATTCGCACACACACACACACACACACACACACACACACACACACACTAATTCCCTGCAGATGTTTTTTTTTTTGAATAACTCAACCTTAATCAACTTTTTTACCCTTGTGGAACCGTTGAAATAGTTTTCATATCTCGGGAACCTCTGCATAAAAATTAGTATATACCATCATTATTAATATTTCTCTCTTTTATAATTTTAACTTAGTTCACGTGGTAAACATAATATATGGACACCGCGCATGCGTGCTGTACTCGATTGAGTCACTCAGTAATTCACAAATCCGCCACGTGCAGTTCCTGTCCACTCACCAGTGAAAACGGTTTGACACTGACGCCATATAGACATCGCTAAATACATTATTATAATTTTAAATAATATAAGATTATAATAAACAAGTATTTTCCAACAATATAGCACATACTTGTATAGTAAAATTACGATTGTAAAATTAAAGAAAAAATTACTTAAAAATACATTAGTCAATTTATCAGTATTTCTTGCGGAAGCCCAAGCGACCTTTTACGCAACCCTAGTGTTTCGGGGAACAACGATTGTGAAACACTGGTCTAAACTTTTATATTGATCACATGATTGACCTTCATCTCATTCAGAAATGCCTTAAGTATCAGCTACATAAAACCGTTTTATTTGATCAGTGTTTAAAAATAACTTCAGCTTAAAGAAGCCTGTTCTTCTTGAAGAGGACAGTTTGACAGATCTCATTGACTGGCGCTGCAGAATCAAATAAAGAAATTTACCAAATGACAGCAAATAATATCAATTGCTTTTTTTTTTTTATATTTTTATGGGCAAATAGTTAACCCCGAAACTGGGGTAAAAAGCATTATAAAAGTGTAAAAATAGGTTTTAATACCAGAAATACTTTGTAAAAAATTATTACCATGAATAAATTTTTGAAGGAAAAAAAAATATTACCAGCAATACGCTTTTGAAAAAATACTACCAGCTATACGTTTTTGAAAAAATAATATTACCAGCTATACATTTTTGAGGAAAAAATATTAACAGAAATTAGATTTTTGACAAAACAAAAATATTACCAGAAAAAAAAAATTTGTCGGCATTAAATGACCCATTGAGGTTGATGTGCCGTAAACCAAACCAAATCAAACCATTGTCCATTACACTACCCGCACTTCCAAGCTTACAGCTTGGAAGTGCGGGTAGTGTAATGGACAATCTGTTATTCACAAGTGGTTACCCATTTAGGTACTGACTAACCTCGACATTGCTTAACCGGTGTTTCAACGTGCTATTGCCGTTGTGTGCCTTCAAGTCGAAATAGCTCTCATGATGATTTCTGTTAAAATTTGAAATTGGGATATTTGGGATCTTGTTTCAGTTTTATAACTTTCTAATTTCTATGTATAATAGTACAGTATTTGCATTTAAAAAAGGGAAACTTGCGCAGGATCGCCATCTTGCTGTCCGTTTGCCATGTCGGTGACACAACTACGTAGGCACAAAGCGCCGGGAAGTTTATGTTTGCACGATGCGTAAGAGTTCTACTCTCGGCAGCTACAACTTTCGCCAATCCTGCTTTTGATGTTGTCGTATGTATGTATGTATCAGGTCATCCCATAAGTTCTGTCCGAATTTTGAATAAAGAAAACAAGTGACCAAATGTTACATTTAATTACAGATTCAATCAACAATGTATTTTCCCTGATTATCTATGACTTCCTTCCATCTATTAACAAGATTACTAATTCCATTACTGTAAAATTCTTTTGGCTTTGATTCGAAGAACTCACAAATGTCAGTTTTAACCTCTTCCTGTGTTACAAAAGCTGTTTATTCCAAATTATTCTGTAAGCTACGAAACAAATGGTAGTCTGAAGGAGCAAGATTGGGAGAATAAGGTGGATGAGGAATTTTCTCCCAACCAAGTTCTTCGATCTTTTGTGACGTGATTCTTGCTGTGTGGAGTTGTGCATTGTCCTGATGAAACATCACCCCTTTTTGATTCACCAGAGCAGGTCTTTTTTTCCCCTCGAAGCTTGGTTCAAATGCTATAATTGCTGACAGTGTATTTGAGCGTTAATTGTTGCATTAGGTGGTAAGAATTCAAAGGGGATTATTTCTTGGCGATCCCACCAGATTGAAAGAAGAATCTTTTGCCCATGAAGTTCCATTCTCGGCTGAGGCTGGGGTCCTTCCCCTTTACCAAGCCATTGTCTACGACGCTTAACATTTCGATAAAAGATTCATTTTTCGTCGCCAGTCACAGGTCGATCCAAAAAAGTGAAACAAGTTGGCGAGAAGGGAGAGAAGAGCAGATGTCAACTCGGGATTTGAGGTTGTTTTCAGATAATTCATGAGGCACCCGTTTTCCAAGTTTAGGAACTTTTCCAAGTTGTTGAAGATGACGATGAACAGTTGTATGTTTTGAACTGAGAACCACTGCCAATTCCACAACTAATAAAGCAGGATTTTCTTCAAGGGCTGCTCCAAGAAGCTTTTCATCAAACTCAACTGGATGTCCGGTTCGATCTTCATCTTCAAGGGTGAAATCTCCACCTCTGAATTTTGCAAACCATCTTCTGCAAGTTCTTTCATTCACACATTTCTCTTCATAAACTGAGTGAATGTTTCTAGCCGCTTCGGCTGCTGAGTTTTCCTTTCTTGAACTCATAAAGCATTATGTGCCTCAAATGATTCTTGGGTACTTCCATGTTAGCAGGGTTTTAATCAAACCAAATTTTATTTTATTGTTCTCCGAAATAAAATTTGATCAGTTTAAATGTGTCTAAACATAAAAATGATGTTCAGCTCCATTAGACATTATAAAATACTCTTTAAATTTCGTTCATTTTAACAAAA